TGCGGAGAAAATACAGGCGCTGTTGGGCTTTTTTGGCCAGTGATGCAGTGTTGTGGCTCCACGACAGGTCTTCAGAGATGTGCACACCCAGGAACTTGGTGCATCTCACCCTCTCCACTGCAGCACCGTTGATGGTTAGCGGAGTATGCTGGGTGTGCACTCTCCTGAAGTCCACGACAATCTCCTTCGTCTTCTCAACATTCAGGTGGAGATTGTTGTCCTTGCACCACATGGCCAGCCTGCTCACCTCACTCCTGTAGTTTGTCTCATCACCGTTTTTGATGGCACCCACCACAGTTGTGTCATCCGCAAACTTAATGAAGAGGTTGGAGCTGAATGATGGTGTGCAGTCGTGGGTCAGCAAAGTGAAGAGGAGGGGACTCAGCACACATCCTTGGGGGACCCCTGTGTTCAGTGTGATGGTGCTGGAGGTGTTGCTGCCAACTCGAACTGCCTGTGGTCTCCCTATCAGGAAGTCCAATAGCCAGTTACACAGGGAGGTGTTGAGCCCCAGGTGGTCTAGTTTGTGGATGAGCTGCTGGGGAATGATTGTGTTGAATGCTGAGCTAAAGTCGATGAACAGCATTCTGACGTAGGAGTCTTTAGTCTCCAGATGGGTGAGAGCTGAGTGGAGGGTAGCGGCGATGGCGTCATCGGTTGAGCGGTTAGACCGATACGCAAACTGGAAAGGGTCCAGGGCGGGGGGAAGGACAGACTTGATGTGTTGTAGGACTAGCCGCTCGAAGCACTTCATAAGGATGGGAGTGAGTGCGACCGGGCGGTAGTCATTGTGGCAGGAGGGAGATGACTTCTTCGGGACCGGGATGATGGTGGTAGCTTTGAGGCACGTGGGTACAACAGCCTGTCTCAGCGAGGTGTTAAAGATGTCGGTGAAGACATCTGTGAGCTACTCCGCACAGTCTCTCAGGACACGACCCGGAATGTTGTCAGGGCCCTGGGCTTTCCTTGGGTTCGTCCTTCTGAGGGATCTCCTCACGCTATCTGGGGATAGCGTCAGCACCTGATCACCGGGAGGTGGTGGAGTCTTCTGTGCTGGGGTGCTGTTGTCTGCCTCAAAGCGAGCGAAGAAGTCCTTCAGCTGGTTCAGCAGAGAGATAGAGCTGTCACAGGTCTGCGGAGAGGGTTTATAGTCCGTGATGGTCTGCATCCCTCGCCACAGGTTCCTGGTGTCTCTGCTGTCATTGAAGCGGTCGGCGATCCTCCTGGAGTACTGCCTCTTGGCCAATCTGATGCCTCGCGACAGGTTGGCCCTGGCTGTCTTCAGGCCCATCTCCTCGCCAGCTTATGACATGGAAATATATATTGCAACCAAATCGTCTAAGCTCGTGACGTTGATTTTAAATGCGGGAAGAGAGAGACATGCAAAATCTAAATATACTGGCGTCATGGTTGGGATCGAACCCACGACCTCCTGTATACCAGGCGAGGTAGTTAACATCTCCCAGCCACCGTGGCGCCCAAACAACTTCTAGTTAGGCTCCCCAATAGGGCCAGCCACCACCACAGATCTGCTTTCACTTTTCCCCCCAAAAATGTGCAATGTCCTACAAATACAGCAGGTGGGGCATAGCGCACAATCTCCGAGCACAAAACACCTCGAGTATGATGACTCTTGACTCCTCATTCTTTTTTGCTGCTGCTGCTGCACATCCATTGCCCGGTTCCCTTTGGAGCGTTGCCACTTCGCGACCCCCGGGAAGAAACGTGCACCAACGTCTATCCAGCGCCAGCATATCACATGTCACCGTGAAGACCCTCTGATGGCTATTTTACAGCATTTATAGCCGCCTTGTTTGCGTCACAAAGGACGCGTTGGTGGCGAATTCCTCTGAAAGTGGGAGGGGGGGGGGGTTGCATTATTTGTTTGTTCTTCCCTTCAAAAACGATACGGTAATGTGTCAGACTGCAAGAGTTAATGGTGATGTTCGTGTTCCAATAAAGCCGTGTTAGATTACTCCCGTGTAATCCCCGCGGAGTGAGAAGAGCCGCAAACCCGCGAAGCTTCGCGCTCCCAACAGCTGTCTTTACCCTTCGCTGAGACGTTGCCTAACGCCACGTGGTATGTGGCGTGTTCCCATTGACAACCACTGCTCCCGGGGTTTGATTTTGACTGCAGGAAGGACCATTTTTTTTTAAAATCCTTTATATTAAGTTCGCTTGCTTGTTTGCGTGCTTGCGTGCTTGCTTGCTTACGACCATGCAAATCTTTCGCTCGTTTTTTAACCCACTTCCCGTGATCCAATCGAGCTGACATTTTGCACACAGACTCGTTGTGCGAGACAATTAATGTTCGTGATTTTTTTCCCCTAAATTTTACACTGTTTAGGGAAAACAAATTAAATATTTAATTAGCAATTGCTTAATACTGGCAGACAATCATCTGACCCATAGGTGGCAGCCATCTCAAGCCAGAGGACGAGAAGACTCTAGCCGCCACGCATATAAAGGATTTATAGTGAAAAACTTTGTTTTTACGGGTTATACTTATTTCTCGTTACCACTCCTGCCAAGAAGGGCATCTGAAGGAGCAGGCGGTATCGTGTTTTTTTTGGCCTACTCTTCCACGTCGGCTGGACGTCTTGCATAGAGCTGGGAGTAGCCACACTTTACCCCACTACACGACGACGAACCCTTGCCGACTGGTCGACTACTTTGGAGCACCCGTTTGTACGAGCGGGTGGTCAGAGGCGGGAGGTTAAACCGGCAAACCTCAGGTCAAGTGTCCTTTACCAGTTACACGACTGCAACACAACCCGCTTAAACTGTACAAATAATAGCAACAGTGAAAAGAATACAAAATGTCATCGTTTTTAATAGCTTTATCAATCGGGTGCTGGATTGAAGGCTTCCCAACGCTGTTGGTCACGTGGATCGTTTGGCCGTGCTTCCACCACGCTGATCAGCGCAGGTTGGTGAAGTAGATTCGGAGGCTCAGACCCAGTTCAGATATCGCTCGCCACTGATGCTAGCCGGGTGGCCATGAATAAAACTCATCTTGCAGAGTTCATAGCACTGTGTGCGCTGACCCACCGCACCAACAGTCTACCATGCTAAACGCACCTCCGATTAGCACGGTTGGCTACGTACGGCGCGAGAGAATTCAACACTACACACACATACGCACGTGGTAAATCTCTCTCATTGACGATGTGGTTTTCACTCTAGGTGCTGGGGAGCTTCCTCAAGAGCCGAATGGTCTCTGAGGAAGCTCCCAGCACGCGGAGTAAGACGTTGGACGCGGCACCCAGCGACGTTCGGCCCAACCGCGAAAACAAACACACGGTTGCAAACCATCGTTTTTCAGCTGTTCAAAAGAAGAGCGTTTTTATTTTGGTCACCTCAACGAACCGAAACAAACAAAACAACGCGCACAGCTGGCACATGTTGTTGAGAGTGGGAGCCTCACATCCAGAAAGGTCACAAGTTCAGATCCTGGTTGGGGGTTCGGCTCAGCCCATCGATCAACTCCTAGGTGGGCTGGTAAAATAAATACCACTTTGTGGGAAGTCAAATCATCTCCCTGCTCAGATGATCACCGGGCGGGTTTTGGGGGGGGGGCCCTCGAGCCAACGGGAATGACCCTCCCCATACCATAGCCTGCCATCACTTCCTTTATGAGCGATCTTCTGACATTCTGAAACACCCACGTTGTTTCGGCGCCTCGGGATGCCACTATGCTCGTGGAGGCACGGTGTAAATAATGCAAAGGTGGCATGCGCAATGTTAGTAGACGAGCGGCGTTAAGGCCACCCAGACACGGTGGGTGCCCCCCAAGCGGTCGTGTGAACAGGGAGACACTTTGACATTCTCGTTGTTGTGTTTTTAAATCCTTTATATTAAGTTCACTTGCTTGCTTGCTTGCTTACGACCGTGCAAATCTTTCGGTCGTTTTTTAACCCACTTCCCGTGATCCAATCGAGCTGACATTTTCCACACAGACTCGTTGTGCGTGACAATTAATTTTCGTGAAATTTTTTTCCAAAAATTTTACACTTTTTAGGATTTTTATATATATATTTAATTACCAATTGCTTAATGGTGGCAGGCAATCATCTGACCCATAGGTGGCAGCCATCTCAAGCCAGAGGACGAGAGGACTCTAGCCGCCACGCATATAAAGGATTTATAGTGAAAAACTTTGTTTTTACGGGTTAATTTTTTTGTTACTTAAAACAGCAAAGTCGAGCGATGCCACGACACTTCATTGCGTCTCGTAGTCACCGCACGAGGAAACGTGAACGTGACGTGGCGCTTGTGTCGATGGCGAAGGGAGTTTGGCCGGTGAAGGAAGTCCATTTCGTGCGTTTCCATTAGGAAGTGGGAGAAATAACTTCGAGATTATTCCCATCAAAACTTCCCCTGTTTTTAATGTTATTATTTAAACAAGTTGAACAATTATCATTTCCCACGGTGGAATTCCGTCTCTGTAGCAGCCACTTACAGGCAATCGTCTGTTCTGATGTATGCGTTGCTTTTCACGGAAGCATTCTCATTGTAACACATTACAGCAAATTATTCATTAGGGATTCCGCATAACTGTACCGGAAATCATCGCCACACCCTCAACAGGCAGATGAATGCCCGCTTGCAGACCCCACGTGCTCGCTCGTCTTCTTGTGCCGCACGGGGATAGGTGGGGGGGGCTCAACTACCTATTTCAATGGCGGGGGGGGGGGGGGCGGCGTTTACCCTGGTTCTGTTGATTATTTCCTGCTTTCCATACGCACGCGTTGTGATCTACGGATGAAATGCGCCTCGCAAAATGTGAATTCTTACGTCGTTAGCATCATGATTACCTTTTAACCGGTTATCCAAATAACCTTTCAGTACAAGTCACATTGTTATTTTTTTTTAAACGAGCTCTATTATGAATCCCTTCCGCACCGATTCGAAGACAACGCCGCGCATCGGCAAAGGGGGAACAAAAAAACCCACCCCGTAAAAAAATCGTCCCCGTCCCGCCGCTCTCTCGCGCACAGGGAATGGCATCGGTGGTGAGCTCGCTGGTCATCGTCAGCCCGTCGTCGCAGTACCTCGAGCGCAGGGCCATCAGCGGCATCAGCCTGATGCCCTCTCCCAAGCAGGCGGGGTCCCCCTGGCAGGCAGGCGACCGCAGCGACGCTAACAACAACGACGACGACGACGACAACAACAACAACAACAAGGGGACATTGGGCGCCACCTGCGACAACAACGGCGCCGACACCCAGGTGTGCCTACCCAGCGCCGGTGCCAGGAACGATTTGCAAATGCGACGGCGCTGATTGTGGCTGGCCGCTTTGGCAGGTTTTTGAACGTGCGTAGAACCTCTTTGGGAGCCGTGCGTGGCCAAACGCGCTATTCGGAGGTGCGGGGGAAGGAGAGAAAACTAAATTCATAATCAACGTTTTTGGGTTTAGATCGCGTTATCTATAAATGTGTCGTAACCCTCCACCACCCGACACGGCCAATCAGTAAAAAAGTGTCACGTTGACAAAAGACAAATTAGTTCACTGCTTTAGCCCACCGGTGTGTTGAAGCGCGAAACCACAACACTTACAATTTGAGTACGACGTTTCGCTGGTAATTGCATCCAGCATCATCGGGCAAATTGCCCGATGATGCTGGAAGCAGTGAACTAATTTGTCTTTTGTCAACGTGACACTTTTTTACTGATTGGCCGTGTCGGGTGGTGGAGGGTTACGACACATTTATAAATAACGCGATCTAAACCCAAAAACGTTGATTATTAATAATATTGGTCGCGAAAGCCTACGTGTTAAACTGAGAAAACTAAACACGAAAAGCGGTTCTTAAAAACAATTAAATAGAGGTGGAAGCACCCACACTTTACCCCACCACTCACGGTCCTGCCAACTAACTTAACCGTGATGTCGCCTTCTAAACTGCTCCGTGGACAGATCAGGTGGGGGTGGTGGGGAGGGATTGAAAAAAAAGTTCCATTTGTTTTTTACCTCCGCGCCGGGAGATGGAATCGAATTGGCGACCTCTGGAGTGCAAGTCCAATATGTATGTGTGTATGTTGAACTTATTTCGCACCGTACGTAGCCAACCGTGCTAATCGGAGGTGCGGTGAAGGACAACAAACTAAAGAAAAAAAGCATTTATAGAGAAATGAGTTTAAAATCTAGACGATTTAAAAACGCATAGCTCCAGTGGCTTCCTAATATCGGAAGGAAGAGCGTTCCAGACGGTCGCGGAAGCAACCGCAACAGTGCTGGTTGTTACTGCCCGCTTGGCCGTTTATGTCTGTACGTATAACTTCTTTCGCGCCGTACGTAGTCAACCGTGCTTTTGGGGCCCCTGTTGAACCGGTGCTCGGCAACCGTGGATCAACAACAAATTTGAAATTCGTTTTTGGGGGGGGGGGGGGGGGCCCACATTTCGTTTTGAAAAGAATACTCGTGGGTTAAAAGAAGAGATGTAGACGCGAGATAGAGATATGTTTAGTGAGATGAGAGAATAGATATCGGCGAGAGCCGCGGACGTGGTGAGATAAAGGAGATGCAGACAAAAATATAGATGCGTAAGATGATAGAAGAGAGGATGCAGACAAGATAGGGACAAGAGAGATTACAATATTTACGTAAAATATTTATTAGTGTTCGATTTTGACCTGATAACTTGTGTGTGTTGTTGACTCTTTGTCAGGAATCTTTTCTTTCCTCTCGAGCTACTTGTGGGGCCCCATGCTTCTTGGTTCTTTCGGTAAAGTCACGTAGAAGGGAAATAATAAAATAATAAAAATAAAACATGATAAAATAATTCTCACGACGTTTCGGCCACAACGCAAGCAGCCGTCCTCAGGTGAAGAACAGGTCTGTCGGGAAGACAGCGTCTGCCGCGACTCTAAGGCACTCTTCCCCCTCCAACCCAGCTTAAATATACGCTCCAAGCCTGGGGTGTTTCATTCAGACGCTGTATTTCCGACAGACCTGTTCTTCACCTGAGGACGGCTGCTTGCGTTGTGGCCGAAACGTCGTGAGAATTATTTTATCATGTTTTATTTTTATTATTTTATTATTTCCCTTCTACGTCACTTTACCGAAAGAACCAAGAAGATGAATCCCTGCTGCAGTCACGAAAGCTTTAAATCGAAATTTGGGCCCCATACTCTTGCTCGATCCGCTTTGCAGCCAAGCGCCACCACTGCGCTCGATGTCACCAACTTTAACGGGTGGCGCCAGCAGCACGCCGTGTGCCGCTGTGCTCACGAGGCAGATTTACAAATATTACAGATATAGCAACACAGACAGAACTTGAATCGAGAAGATGGACTCAGATTGAGCAATCATCGCAAGGACGTGATAAACCACGTCACGTTTTGATTGCTGTGATTTTCACACACCCACCCATGCTGTTTTCGTTGACTAATTAAAGCTCATGGACATGCTGATTTCTCCAGCCCCCACCCGTTCCTGCACGCCACAAACCCTCCCCCCTCTCCACCCCCCCGTGAACTCCTGCAGCCACGACTCTACAAACCTCCCCCACCCCTCCCGTGCCTATATCAAGCCACAACAGCAGATTATTCTTTCTCACCTGATGACGGACGCTTGTGTTGCGACCGAAACGTCGTGTTCTTTTATTATTATTTTTTCTTCTACCTACGTTACTTTCCCGAAAGAACAAGAGTATGGATTCCTGCAGTCACGAAAGCTTCAAATCAAGATTGATATTATTTTCTATTTTTACCCCCCCAACTCTGCGTTGGTTGCCGTTTTTCAGCAGCGGCAGCAGCAGCAGTCGGGAACGTGTGATGGCGAGGCGTCCTCCCCAAGGCTCGGCGAACAAGAACGCGTTGAGAATGTGCCGGGGAACGACGCAGGTATTGCCGCCGCGTGGAATGGTCAGCAGCTCCGGCACGTGTCGTTCCGTGCATCGCGCGAATACGTCGTGAGAAGGTCGCACTCATTAGACACGCCAAGTGCTTGCCACAAATGAACCACAACACCTCGCTGATCTCGCCAAGGAGCCTAAACCATCACGCGAACTCCGCTCCTCCTCGAAGCAGCGGCTTTTGGCTGCTGGCCATCGAACAAAGATGGTTAACCGCATCGCTCGTGCTTTAAGATGCGCTTCTGCGGCCGTCTGGAACGCTCTTCTGTCCGATCTTAGGAAGCCGCTGGAGCTATGCACTTTTAAATCTAGATTTTAAACTCATTTATTCAGAACTGGTTTTTGTGTTTCATTTTTTGTCCTTCCCCCCGCACCTCCAATTAGCATGGTTGGCGACATACGGTGCGAAAGAAGTTCAACATACAACATACACACTGATCTTGCAATTGAATTAAATGGCAGTTGAAACAAATGGCTAGTTTCTTCAATGCCACCTCCACCCCACCCCCCTTCTGCAGGTCGTGAGTGGTGGGGGTCGTGAGTGGTGGGGTAAAGTGTGGGTCCTCCCATCCTATATTTAATTCCCTTAGAACTACCGTTTGTCTTCAGTTTCTTGTCCTTCCCCCGCACCTCTGATTAGCACGGTTGGCTGCGTGCGGTGCCGAAAGAAGCTCAACGTACACACGTACATCCCGCCCGACCCATCTGGCCAGCGTTGGAAGAGTAGGCCAAAGTACCCACCAGAGCTCCCCCTGTAGTGGAGGCGAGTCGGCCGGCAGTACGGCAAAGCAAGCAATGCCGCGCTGAGCCGGGCAGCATCTCCACCCCCTCCCCACCCGCGTGTGCTGACAGTGCGAGAAAATGTTTAAATGTAATTGGCAAATTAAATCATTGGCGAGTTTCACCGGCTGTTTTTCTTCCCCTTCAGCGCGACTCAAATTGCCACCGACACGCGTAACGAACACAAAATAATGTTGGATGCGCGTATATTTATCTTCTTACCTCTCTGCCAATTACCAGTTGGCGATGTCTCGCGATTTAATAACAACCTTTCCCGCATCTATGCTTTTTCCCCATCGCTCTGTGAAACACTGATGTTTCACCACAATAACTTGTGGCTTGCTATAAGCTATATTTACCCGTGGCATTGACAATACTCGTACAGTAATGCCAATTAATTTGCCGAGGAAAGTTTCATTTAGACTTTTTTTTTGTTCAAGAGGGCCCTGCTACATTGGGATGTTTGGCCAATTCTACTAACGGGTGTTTATTTTTTGTATTTTTTGTGTGATTAGTTTGTCCCGCACCTCCGATTAGCACGGTCGGGGACATACGGTGCGAAATAAGTTCAACATGCAATACATATACGAATACCCAAGGGGATGATGCTCAACACTGCCATCTGCTGTTTACCTCGACAGTCAAAGCCTCACAACACCTGGAAAGCCCTGGTGTTTGCCCATCCAAGTAATAACCAGCCTCAAGCCTGCTCAGCTTCCGAGATCCGACGAGCTCGGGTGCATTTATGGCACTTTGCGAGTAAACAAACGTCAATGAACCGACCACAGCTAAAGAGACAATCCCCATGGGTATACTGCATTGACACTCCTGTCATGAAAATCAAACTGGAATGCAAACAATGTATATTTATGGTATTAACACGTAGGCTTTCGTGACCAATATCATATAAAATGGAGGTTTTGTTGGGTTAGATCGCGTACATCTATAAATGTGTCGTTTAACCCGCCACCACCCGACACAGCCAACTAGTAAGGGTTGTCACGTCAACAGAACGTGCCAATTCGTCACTAGTACAGCACTTGTGTGTAGTGTAGTGTATAGTAGTGTAGTAGTATAGTAGTGTATAGTGTAGTGTATAGTAGTGTAGTAGTATAGTAGTGTATAGTGTAGTGTATAGTAGTGTAGTAGTACAGTAGTGTATAGTGTAGTGTGTAGTGTAGTGTATAGTGTAGTGTATAGTAGTGTAGTAGTATAGTAGTGTATAGTGTAGTGTATAGTGTAGTGTACTAGTACAGCACACCGCTGTGTTGGAGAGCCAAGCCACGACATTTACAATCTGAGTACGACGCTTCGCCAGTAATTACAACCAGCTTCATCAGGCAACAGCCAGATTACTAGTTGGCTATTTCGGGTGGTGGCGGGTTTAATGACACATTTATATATATTTACGTGATCTAACCCAAAAAACCTCATTATGTATTTTATGGTACTTTGAATGCGGGATGCTGCCGTGTGTGTCGTCGTCAGAACACTGGACTTGCGATCTAGATGGCGGCTCTGGTCGTTTGCCTGGCGCGGCCGGTGAAACGCTGGCGCAAGTTTCTAGAACTCCCCCCACCCTCCCCTTCAACCTCAGTTCTGTCCACCCAGGTCACATCTGATGTTTTGTGGGGTTAAATTGTGGGCACTCTCCCACCTCTTCCGAAATATCTGCCCACCGGGGGTGGGGGGGAGGGGGAAGAGTAGGCCAAACATCCGAGGAGGCCCCCCACCCGCCCTTGCCTCGAATCGTCGATCTCGCGTGGCTTTGATTGGCGAACGAGGGCGGCCAAGCATTGCGCGGCGATGCCGCTGGGTGCACGGCAAGCTTAGCAGGGGGGGCCCTTTCAGGGCTCCGCAGATTGCTCGCAGACTTTCCTCCCCCATCACGCCACGTGAGCCTCTGCGTTGCGTTGCCTTTCGCCGTGAGGTTTTACTTACGGGGGGAGAGGGGGGGAGAGGCTGTTTTTCCGAGAAAAAAATATCTATATCGCCCAAGCCGGACCCTCGGGGGGACTCATCAGAAGTCGTCTGTCACCACCTCCCACTGGAAGGTTCGAATACTTGCGAGCTCGCCGCTGAGCGATTGCGTCGGCCGTCGCCACTGGGTTAGCTGCGCCTCGCACGTAACTCCGGCGGGCGGGACATCCTTCCGCACTACTTTGCTGACTGTGCATGGACCCGTTGTCGGAATCGTTATTTAGAGTGGAGGAATCCGATGAGCTAAAAAGCTTTTTTCCACAGATGTCCATTATGCATTGCCGTGGAGCAATGTGGGTAATAGCATATGTGTGCCTCCACGTGATAATTAAAAAAATATTTTTAGTCATTCAGCCTTTTGGCCTTTCCAATGGATGACGTACAATTTTTATAAATGTGTTCCTCTCCAACCTCCGTCACCTATGACCCCTCTCTCTGCAACAGATGGACACAACGAGACACAGGCAAAGCCGGTTGCGGCAGTGGCATCAGCATCAGTGGCAGCACCGTCGACAGCAGCGGCACCAGCGGCACCGGTGGCCGTGAGCTCCGACCTCCAAGCTCCATCGCCTCCATCTCCCGGCACCAGCTACACGGTGCAGAAGAAGATCACTCTGCGTTCCGCACACGGCGCGCCACGGGTCCAGCCCGGCGCGCGCTGCAGCTCCGAGTCCGTGACGCTCTTCCTGCGCAGCGGCAGCGGCGCCGGCACGAGCGTCGCCGGAGCCGCCGCCATCGTCACCGGGACGCCTCAGGCAGCGCGTCGCGACGTGGAGCCGCTCCCCGCCAGCGCCGCATCGCTCAGCCGGAGCGGAGGCCGGAGAGACGGTGAGCGGCACGGCGGCATCGCGGGCAAGAAGGACGACGGCGGTAGTGGTGGCGACGACGACGACGATGACGCCGCCGAGCGACGGGAAGAGGATGGACACACGGCGGTGGCAGCTGCGGCGCGGTGCAACGCTGCCGCAAGAGACGGCGGCGGTCGCGTGCGGGCAGGAGGAGTTGCGGTCGGGCAGGGAGATCGCGTGGGCCACGCGGAGACCGCCCCGGCACGCGTGTGGGAGGATGACGGGTGGTCGGCCGATGGCGCAGAGGCAGCCGTCAGCTCGCTGCGCCTGCCGGGCCACGCGGGCGACACCGCGGGTACGCCGGGTGACGGTGTTGGGACTGGCGACGAGAGCGACGCCGGTGTGCCAGAGCGCGACGTGGCAAAAAGCGCCGCCTGTTGTGCGGAAGCTGCAAGAGAAGCCACTATTTTCGCGAAATCGGACACGTTTAACGACAACCGCAACAACAACAGCAGCGGTAGCAGCAGCAGCATCTATTTTTCATCAGAAATATCTCACATCGGGCACCAATATCATCCTCCAATGCCTTTTTCGGGGACGGCTCTATCAAGGGACAACAAAACGGACCACGTTCCAAGCCTTAATCATTCCAGATCCGCTGCCAGGATAACACTAAGTTCCTGTCATGCCACCAGCGCCGTTACCACGATGTTCGGAGCGCAAACGGTCAGCACCTGTGCGCACAATTTCCAGACCCCCCAGGAACAAGACTGCCGAGATTTCGTTGCCCAATTTGAGCGTCTCTGCAGGAGTCTTGAGGGGCAGCCAACGGCGGAGGAGCGGTCAGCCGAGAGCGCCGGCAGACCCGCTCTCACCGCGGTGCAGAACTCCTCCGAGACGCGGCCTGTTGCGCTTTCCCCGGACGGAAAATATGCAATCGGTGGAAAGCTTCCTCCCGATTCGCCATCCGCGCCCATTCCCAATGACGCTGGGCTGGCCCACGGCGACAGCACGTGGCCTTCGGCCAGCAGCGAAAGTCGCTGTCACGAAGTCGCGGCGAACAGCGAAGAGCGACGGGCGCCGAGCGACGGCCACGACGCGGGTCCGCCGTCGCCGACGCACCGCGACGATTTCCAACATTCAAAGCCGGCGGAGCTGGCGAATGATGCCGAACCCTCGGAGGGCGAGGAGGCGCGCACGCGTACGCCTTCAGGCGAGCGTACTATCACCGTCGGAGAAAGCCAAGGGGGCAAATTCCCGCTGACAGACACGGCTACGCCTAATGAATTCCCTCTTACGAAAGGTCACGAAAGGTCACCGCCGGCGGAGCATCTCCTCTCCCCGTTGCCAGATCCCACCGCCCCAGAAGCAAAACGGCAACACGCAGACAGAACGGAGCTCGCTCAGGCAAGCTCCGTGGACGCTGGCGAGCCACCCTTGTGCGGCCCGCAGTACCGGGGTGAGGAGGGGGACGACGAGGAAGCATCCCCGGGTCGACGGCAATCCGAGCTGACGGCGCCATCTACAGCGACGAGGGGTCGCGACGAGGTGCTCGCGAGCGCGACCCCTCCGGCTGACGGGCGGCCGTCTCGTGAGACAGTCGAGGAAGGTCTCGAAAGTCCGCCTGCGGAGAAGGACCGGTTGAGTGGTGGACGCGGGGCGGGGGAGCTGGCAGAACGGCTCGGGGTTGCCTTTGCGGAGAAGGAACGGTTGAAAGGTGGACGTGATGCCGAGGAGACGGAGGAAAGGATCAAAATTCCCTTCACAGAGAAGCAATGGGGGAGAGTTGAACACGTGGCTGAGGAGTCGGAGGAAAAGCTTCAATTTCGCGTTGCGCAGGAGGATTGGTTCAAGGGTGGACACAGCTCTGAGGAGCGAGAGAAAAGGACGGAGAAGGACGCGTTGACTGGTGGACATTGGACCGTGGTGGAGTCACATCATGAAAGCAGCAGCAGCAGCAGTAGCAGCCACAGCAGCAGGAGCATAACCGTCGAGGCTGAACGATCGGCTCGACTGGACATGTGGGGGAATGACGCAGAGCCCCAGGGAGATGGCGGAGACAAGCGCAGAGACAAGGAGGCGCTCTGGGACCTGGTGGGTAGCAAAGCCGGCAGAGGAATGTTCTCACGTGATCCGTGCGTGTGTGTTTGCCGTTGACTGGAACAGAGATTTAACATACTGTGGCTCTTTAAAAAATTAAAAAAGGTCTATTTTTGTAAATTGTCCACAATTTTATCTCCGAATGTGCTATCGGCGTCTTGTCACGAGATGAAGGGTCGATTTTGGTCTCTTGCAGAGCAGCGCGACCTTTCGTGTTAGACAATGGTCCGTGGAAGTGGATATCACAGAGCTACCTCTGAGGTCCCTTCAGGTTGACCTCTGGATCTACACAGTAGAGGGTTGCATTTTCCCACCCGCTCCGCATTATGAGAGTAATGTCCGTCGCATTGCCGCCTCACCAATATTGTAATTATCAGAGCTCGGATTTAGCCAAAGAAAGTTGCGGAGCCGCAGGCTACAGACGCCTGATCCAACGTACGAGTCACGCTGCTTCGCCACTCGCGACGTTTATTCTTTCCGTGCTCTACCGCCCCGCCACCGCCCCGACGCAGCTCCATCGAACCGGCGACGTGAACGAGCGCAGGAGGATCCGTGCCGCCATGCGGGACGTGGGCCGGGAATCGCGAGGTGAGTTCACCGAACGCCAGGGCCACGCTGAGGAGGGTCACGGAAGAGTGCGCGTGCTTATTTTGTTGGTGAAGTTATGGTGGTGAGATGTTAATTACCTTGCCTGGTATACAAGAGGTTGTGGGTTCCATCCCGACCCTTACGCCTGTAGATTTGGGTGCTGCGCATCTCTCTCCTTCTCTCTCCCCGTGGATTTGCGTGGATTTTTTCTCCGGGTCCTCCGTTTTTTCCCCTCCACATTTACAATCACCGTGCGTTGGGAGTATTTTGCTGATGTTAATTTCGACATAAGCCACTTCGTTGAGCTATCATTTGTGGCAAGGTCACTTCTGAAAAAGAGCTACGTAGTTCAGTGGTCCTTACCTGGTAACATAAAAAAATGTTCCCAAGCAGGGCTGTGAATTATTTAAAAGTGAATCTGAAAACAAGGTCTGCAAAAAGGCTTTCGTGACTGTTGGTTAATGTTTTATTCATTGTTCCGTACAATTATTCACTGACAAATCCAATTCCGAAATTAAAGCGTTTAAATTGGGAGGAGAAATAACAAAGCTCCCCATTATTACATTTCCGCTGCAGACTATTATTTTTTATCCCCGGTTCAATCAGTGAAGCGTACCAACTCTTTATCTATTACACAGTCAATATTTCTTACAACCTTACTCAATTCAAGGGATGTGTTAACTGCGAGCAGCGACTGCGTTGATAGTGCTGATTGCCGCTGGCTTCTTGCCGTTTTGCTACCGTACATGGGGCCTGTGCTCAGCGATGTGAATAATAATTATAAAATAAAATCTTTACTTTTGACGCTGCTGACATTTCATGAAAATGCCACGCAACTCGCGCCATTTTGAGGCGACAAACCACGCTTAATTTCAGGCTTATTATCGCCGCATGGACCGCTGTTAATGGACTTTTTTTTAGTCATCGCCTTCGTCTAATTAAGGAAAACCTTTGAAAATGTAAACGAGACTCAGGCCTTGGATTCATTCGGTCGTTATCTCAGCCGACGACGGCAGTCAAACATTCAGTCCGGTATTCGTTATTAAATGTTGGCGTGAGGGGCGTGAAATTCTGCGCGCCCTTTATTTTTCACGTCGCCCAAATATAGCTGAACACCAACATTTTTTTTTACATCTTCCTCAGCGCACTGCTGTCTCTCATAAATTAAGTAAATTATCTTAGTTTGCATCTTTAGTCACACTTATTCATAGCGTCTCGTCATAGTCGGTCACGTTTTCGTCGTTCGTGGGCAGTCATCGTGTTAAATAATTTCATCCGCCCACAATCGTTGATTCAAATACAAGAAAACTCGTCACTGGTTTCCCTCACGAGATCAAACAACCGGGTGCCAAGAAATGTTAAGACTCGTCGTGTTGTCCCATCAGCCACGCGGTCCCCAGCGACCGACAAGCGAGCAACGGAAGAGCGACGCGACCGAGGAGACAAGCTCTCGCTCGCCCACTTGGCAAGCTCCGTGGGAACCCCTCTCTCTGGACTGGCGCGGTCGGCCAGCGCACTGGCCTGGCGCGGCGGTGTCGGCACTCACCTGGGGAGTCCGATGGCCGACATCGGCCCCCTCCATCGCCGTCCCTGCCTTAGCGCCGTGCACGAAACGCCCCGAAGCCTTGGGCAGGCCCGAACAAGAAGCCTAAGAGGTAGCAGCAGTGTTGGGGTTACCGCGCACGGCATATTGGGGAACGACATGGTCACCTCCATCAAGGAAATCTAAACAGGTGGTTCTCAACCCTCGGGGTCTTGCAGGTGGGCGCAGGCTGTGGCGTGGGTACCGTGCAGAATACATTTTGAATGAGCACAAACCCACTTGACAATCACCTTTACGGGAAGGACCCGGCATCGCTGAAACCGTGGCTGTCGCTCGGCAAACATAAACTGTGCTCCTTTCGTTTGGAGATTTAAAAGGGCAACAAAGATATTCCTAAATGCGCACCCCTCGGGACTTGTCCTACACGGCGCACCACAGAGGCGTGCCTTCGCTGGCGCCGTGTGTTTGTAACGTGGTTTTCACGCCGAGACTGACAAGATGTCAATACCCCAACTGATTAACTTCAGTCCCATCGGTTTGAGTAGAGCTCTTAAGAGGGTCTTCAAACAAAAGGTGGCCAGGTGCCAGAACCGCTGAGATGCTCGGTTTGAATTGTGGCGAGATGTTAACTACCTCGTCTGGTATTCAGGAGGTCGCGGGTTCGATCCCAACCATGACGCCTGTATATTTAGATTTTGCATGTCTCTCTCTTCCCGTGGTCGCGTGAATTTTCTCCGGATTCTCTGGTGTTTTCCTATAATTTGGCTGCTATAGATTTCCACGTGATAAGCCACTTCGTGTGAGCTATCATTTGTGGGCAGGTCGCTTCTGAAAAAGAGCTACATAGCTCAGTGGGCCTTACCTGGTAAAATAAAAAGTTTAGAGTTGATTTTATAGAATTCAGAATCATTTTTCAAATTGGCAGAAACCAATGCGCTATAAAGCTCTTTCTCACCGATGTTCAGTTTGGGCGGATCTCAGGCGCCCGCGATTAAACCGGCTTCTCAAGCGTAGCCAGTTGATGTTGTTGGCTTGCTCATCAATGACTTTACAAAGCGTCGTCGTAAATTGGTTCATCGCTCAATGTGGCTACATTTAAGTAGAAAGACATGAATTCGATTTGAGTGTCACGTGACAAAACATTTCTGTCTGCGACAGTGTGCGCGGGAAAGTGGGCTACTTAGCGTGTCTTTAGTAGAGGGACATCGGAAGTTTTTTGAGATGTAGTTCTGTGATGGCTCCTTCATCGCGCCTTTCTCTAGCATAAGATGACGCACTGCTCTGCGAGTCTTCCAAATGGATACTTCATCTCATGCCATGACACTGATCGAGCAGAATCATTATAAATTCATGATAAAACACAAAACCAATTAAAATAGTCATTTCAAATAGCCTATAAACACCATCCAATAGCAAACAAGTCAAAGCGATTTTCAGCTCAAATGAGAACTGAGGCTGCGCTCATCTGCAATTAAAAGTCCTGAGCCAGAGCTGGACATTCCACATTGCTATGGTGGGTGCAAGTATAACCCTATGGGACAACCGCCATTGACTTCTGCACAAAGGAGGCGCTCGTTTTATCGATGCCGAGTGTGTGAGCCGACTCTTCCCGACCCGGATGTGAACCCGCCACCTTTCGAATTGCGAGCCGCTCGGCTCCAGCGCTGAGCCGCTCCGGGCTGTAAAGCTGGAAGGCGACAGGAAAACATGTTTAACGCTGCCGTGACCTTTGTTCATTTTTCCAGGCGAGTCGCCAAGTGGAAGCCACACGAAGCAGTCTGCGACTGTTGACGGGTAAGAACCCGGCGATGCCGAGGAACGCGCCGCGTACATTTGTTCGCGAGTCGCCGCGCCGCTCACGTTTGTTTTCACGCCGAGTCAATGTTCCCGCGGACTTTTGTTTTTCCCAAAGTGCTTCGCGCGGTTGGAACTCATGGCGTCATCAGCGTGGCGACCAAACGACGAAGCCGGAGCAATCGTCCTGCGGCGGCACGAACGCGAGTCCTCTCGGCTGCCGGGCGCAGGACCCTCCTGGAAGGAAGGATGCCAGGTGCAGTTGCGATGGCTGCCCTTGCTAAGGGTTCCCACTGGTTTGGATCTCATCAGCAGCATTGGGCCTGTTTAAAAATAAACTAAAACAAGTTAAAATGCTTCATGTCATTTTACTAAATTCAGGCTCTGAAAATTCAAATTTGGTTTTGTGCCGTGGTAAAAATTGGTTTTGTTCAGGTTAATGCCTCTGTTCACAGGAGTTTTCCTTCCTTTCAATTGCATCTTCTCACGTTGCGTGGCCCCTGTGCGAAGATGCAAGAATAAAACGAAGCCCTGTGGATAGGGACATGTAACCAGGGTTTAATGTCAGTCAGATCCATCCATGTCAGAGACCACCATTAGCCAGTATTATCTCTGTCTTGGCTATGGCTGTTGGCTAAGTCACGTTGCATCTACTCCAATTCATCAGCAACTCAGAAAACATGCATGTGCCCGGCACACCACATCCTGTACTATCTCTTGCTATGGCTATGCCTACGAGTCACGTGCCACCTACTGCAGTCTACCAGCGACCAACCCAGAAACAAATATATATTTTCAATGAGAATCTAAGCCTTGGGATGCTCCCAAAGGTTTGGATTTCATTTCTATCCGTGTATATTTTAGTGCCTATACTTGGTGTGAAATTCACAAGGATTGATTGGACTTCGCAAAAATTACCTGGCACTGGGAGTCAGTACCGGTCCTGGTGGGACGTTAGTAGCCAAATTTGGTACTGACCTCTCCACCACCACCACCACTCAAGTGTCCCATGCCGTCATTGCAAGCGGGCTCATTAGTTGCCACCACCTCAGCTATTCAACAGGGACTTACGAAATACGAGTGATTTGCCTTTTTTTGGAAACGGCCCTGGATAATCCAAATTAAACACTTTCTGCACACGTTGAGAAAACCCGTCACAGCTGAAGCATGCGTGCAACTCTGGACACAAATAGAAATAAAGGGCCGTCCATAAATGACGTCACGCACCTAGGGGGGGGGGGGTGGTCAGATTTTTGTGACGATGTGTGACGAGAGGAGGGGGGTCAAAAATCGTCCAAAATCGCGTGACGTCATTTACGGACGGCCCCTAAAGACACGCAGAGGTGCAACTACTCGAATCCGCATGCCTCGCGTGCGTGTCATGTGACCATCACATTGCCACGTGCATTGCTTTCAGCCTTGTTTAGACCACCAGCTCCGATGAGCCGAAGGTGTGGCCGTGTTATTATTTAGAGAGCATTGCACGTGCATTGTGGTCACGTGACACAGACACAAGCCATTATGGGGGATCGTGCATTTGTCGTGTTTTTGTTGATATTCGCTGAGCACAGGCCAATAACTTCACACGGCCAGTAACATAGAGCACGATAATAACATGCAATAGATAAAGAGTTGACACGTTTCTTGAATTGAGCGAGGTTATTTGTTATGTTAAGCCTTTCCCGTTTCGAGATGACTGCAAGTTGTAGGGTGGGTCCCATTCACCGCCGAATCTCGGAATGCACAAGCAGCTCAGCGTTAACTTCATTTAGAAGGGCATAGCGCTGTTATTTTAAAAGATAATGTGCTCACCGCAGAGAACTGTAGAGACACGACCATACTCTACGATAGCTCGCATCAAACTGTGCCACAGACCCTCCCGCATGACCCTGATAAAGTTAATTTTATTTGATTAAGTTATTTTATAAAGTTCTTTTATTTGAGTTTCCCTTCCGCACTCGGAAGAAAAACTGATGACGTACACGTATACGTATGTATGTATGCTTGTACGTCATCGGAACAGGAAAGGGTTAAGAGCCCGGGGGAAAAAGAAACATTGGGAGGTGGAAGTCCGCAGTCGAGCGGTTGGCAAGGGAAGGAGCAGATTGTGAACACACCTGTTGCGTGTCTTTGTTGCTTAAACGGCGCCGTACCTCGCTCGGTAACTCGTGCCACCGTCATCGTCGTTGTGACGACGTTGTGACGTCATTGTGACGTCGTTGTGACGTCGACACAGACTCGGGCCCGGCGGCCAGGGAACACCGCTCCAGCGCTCGGCCAGCGTGATGTCTCCCGGCAACGTGATGCAGCTGACGCTCGAGTGGTGCAAGACGCGCACGGAGAACTATGCGGTGGGTAGCCCGTAGCTCTGTTCCACGCTGGCGTCCGTCTCTCTCTCTCTCTGCGCCAGCCTCGATGCGTTACCCGGCCAGTAGCGTCACGAGTGTGGGGGCCGGGGCGTGCCTTTGCAAACCCCCCTCTTGGCCAAAGCTATGAGTTGGGATCTCCTTGACAACCGCCACGAAATTTAAATTTCGATTTAAAGCTTTCGTGACTGCAGGGATTCATATTCTTGGATCTTTCGGTAAAGTCACGTAGAAGGGAAATAATAAAAATAAAACATAATACAATTCTCACGACGTTTCGGCCATAACACAAGCAGCCATCAGGTGAAGAACAATAGGATGCTGTCTTTCCGACAGCTCTGTTCTTCACCTGAGGACGGCTGCTTGTGTTGTGGCCGAAACGTCGTGAGAATTTTATAATGTATTGTTTTTATTATTTTATTATTTCCCTTCTACGTGACTTTACCGAAAGATCCAAGTATATAACCACCACGAGATATGTTTGTAACAACAGTGTAAATGAACTAAAACTTATTGATAACGCGGTTTAAATGTAGATTTCACCAAAATCCTTTCATTTAGTTCCACGTAGAATTTTTACTTAATTAGAGCAGTCACGTAACATTGCAAAGAGGTAATACGGAGCTGTAGTGGGTGAATTTTGCGTAAAGACGGAGAATCCCGATGGCATTAAATGTTCGAGACCCTGAGTGTCACGATGTGATTAAGAGGAGGCCGTGACATGTAATAGCCTAAGTGCGACCGTGCGAGACAAATCAAATATTGGGGCCCTACCTGACCAATTGCCACACCCCCTGAGCTGACGATGCAGTTACTGCGCCACTGGTAGCCCCGCGTTCAGCCTCGGTTGTTATCGCGTCAAAAAGCCACTGCAAACTAATAATTGGTTTTTTACCCTTCTATCTGGCAACAAAACTGACACCTTTTTTACAAGGAGTCATGTTTGCATAGACCACAATACCTGCAGTCATAATGCAAACAAAAAACATAACTATGATAATATATGCACTGTCCTTGAAGTTGATTGATCCACACCTGAGACATCTTTCCTTAGAGCCTAGTCTCACATGGGTTGGATCAGATGAGGCCAAAAGGCGCACAACTCAAAGACAATGCACCATCAGAGTGGACCAATCAACTTCAAGGACAGTGCATATATTATCAGAGTTATGTTTTTTTGTTTGCATTATGGCTGCAGGTATTGTGGTCTATGCAAACATGACTCCTTGTAAAAAAAGGTGTCAGTTTTGTTGCCAGATAGAAGGGTAAAAAACCAATTATCATATTTTTTACTGCCAAATGAGGTTCCAATGGTGCCACTGCAAACTGTCGCCGTCGTCCACAGAACGTGAGCGTCAGGAACTTCTCGTCCAGTTGGTGCGACGGCATGGCGTTCTGCGCCCTCGTGCACAGCTACTTCCCGGAGGCGTTCGACTTCTCCGAGCTGAGTCCGCAGAACCCGCGGCACAACTTCCAGCTCGCCTTCACCTGCGCCGAGTGAGTGCCCCGCGCTCCTCCTAGCAATTGACTCGCGAACAAGGATGTAACTGCGCCGCGGTGGCGAGACGTTAACTACCTCGCCCGGTATACAGGAGGTCGTGGGGTTCTTGAAGCTGTACTTTCCCTCGAACGTCCCCTCCCCTTGTGCTCTGCCCTTTTCTAACTTTCCAGTCCCCCTTTCTCGAATGTTCCCTCACTGTATTTCCCTTAGCCAATCCCTGTCCTTCCCCTCGAATGGATCCCAACCGTCGCCTCTGGGCTCCACTCTGTTTCCCGCCTATTCTCATTCAAACCTTTTCCTCCAATCGCTTCAAAAGCCTGCCTGCCGACCAATCCCTGTGAAGGCCTCTTTCAGCCAATCGGAGACCTTCGTCTATCTTTGAATAACCGTTAAGCTGCACGTTGTCTTGGGGATATTTTCGGTCATTACACATACATCGAATCGTTTATGTGATAAGAAATTATATTCGAGAAGAGTTAATTGAACCCCTGCAACCATTGCGGGGTGATACAATGCATCGCATGAACAACATTGTTGAATGCAATTCCAACTCCACATTGTGACAATTCATCGAACAGCAAGGGGAGTGAATCGTTTAGGCCAATCTTACGACAATTCATACGACTCACCCGTTCATTCAGTAAGTCACGGACGTCTGTAAGTATTCAGACAGCGTGCTTTTTGTTACTATTCTTTTAGCTCCACCCCCTCTCCCAATACGTTCCATTCATTGGCTACCACATTCTGATAAGCTCCCCCCCTCTCCTCCCCCTTAACTTGTATTTAAGAACTTGCATATCGGAATCCCTGCCTCACTTGATACAGCAAATCTGGCTGTGACGGTCCCACCTGATGACGGAGACTTGTGTTGCCTCCGAAACGTCGTGATTTTTATTATTTTATTTTTATTAATTTTAATTTCATTTTTTACCTACGTGACTTTACCGAAAAAACTAAGAGTATGAATCCTTGCAGTCACGAAAGCTTCAAATCTAGAATTAATATTCTTGAATGGTAGTTTGTCAGCTGTTCCAAACTGTTGAAAGTTGCATTTTATTGTGGTTAGGAGGATTTCTGGGCACCAGCGGCCAAAGTGAAAATTAAAATAATTTTTTTGCAAACTCTACCTGGGGGTATTTTAAAAGTGACAGCAACAGGTGGCAACGCACTGCCATTCGGAGTAAATTGGAAGAAAAAAAAGTGTAAATTAACTGTGAAAGATTAAACAGGGGGAAAAATGCTTAATTAAAAAGAACTATAATTGCAAAACTATATTATTTTTTTATTCTTCGGGTCTTTCGGTAAAGCCACGTAGATAAAACAAATAATAAAAATAATAACAATATCACACTATTTGTTATTACTTTAAAATAATAAAAATAATAACAATATCACCCTATTTGTTATTATTTTAATTATTTTTTGTTATTTGTTCTATCTACGTGGCTTTACCGACAGACCCAAAGAAGATGAATTCCTGCAGTCACGAAAGCTTTAAGTCAAGATTCACATTAATTCTTGCAACGTAATTGAACAAGGAAGAAAAAGCATGCACACACACACGCGCGTATGGGTTACATGCGTTCGTCTGTAGAAATATGACATTCACCACATCACCATCAAAATCATCATCGACGTGAAACAAACCGAGTGTAGGCCACGATGAGACCATGGGCCTCGGATATCGCCCTTGCCCAGGAGGGTGCACCTCAGCCGGTAAAGCCAGCACACCGAGGGGGGTGTCTAACTAGTGCCGGTTTGTGTCTCCCATTGATCAAGTTGGCTTCTTTTCAATAGGGCAACTTCCAAAAACAACAATTAACTTACGGCCACAACTTGATTTGAATGATATATATTGTCAACTGTATCGAGGTTTACGTTTTTATGTTTAATGATGTTACGGAGCGTTGGGTAGCAGATGTGCCCAAACAATTTACTGGACTAATAGCAACACAACATTGTATTAATTTGAGGTCATAGTGCATTTTTTTAAACCAGAGTTATCATGCATCCCTCACCCCATTACAGACAGACAGCTATGCATAAACACTTTCAACTTCAGTCGGATGGCATTAAAAAAAGACATTACATTGATTTACAAAATTATTATTTTACAAGGTGAATCTTAAAAAAACCCCGTTATAATTAAGGATAATTTAATGTACCGGCCTTGGCTTTAGCCCTCTGATCACCCCTGTTGTGGAGCCCTGTCCAATTAAGCCATTTGTTTGGTGTCACAACCTCTGCATTCAATAATCTATAAATGTTCAGCATTCTTAATTCTCTATTGATCGCGTGGGGGGGGGGGGGTCAAGCACAACCTAGAGCCTTAGACGAATGAGCATCGCACAACCATCCATTATGATCTCAAACTACAACGTGCTGTTGTTTTTCAACAAACGTCTCCCACGACCACAGTAAAAGTTGAAGGCGCAGCCCTGCAATTTCTTGCTGACGCCACTGCTGCCGGAAGGGCCTCCACGAGAGCGAGCCTGAAAGCCCTAGAGATGCCCCTCTGGGCGGTGGGGGGAAGGGACATTTTGACCTACTCTTCGAAACTACCCACTCCTTACCAAACAAAGACAAAGATGATAATTGGTTTTTTTACCCTTCTATCTGGCAACAAAACTGACACCTTTTTACAAGGAGTAATATTTGCATAGACCGCAATACCTGCAGTCATAATACAAACAAAAGACATAACTCTGATAATGTGCACTGTCCTTGAAGTTGATTGGTCCACACCCGAGACAGCTTTCCTTAGAGCTTAGTCTCACATGGGTTGGACCAGATGACGCCAAAAGGCACACAACTCAAAGACAATGCACCATCAGAGTATGAGAGCTCGGGGCAAGCATCTACACTATGGGAACCTCATTTGCCAGTAAAAATATGAGATCCCCCGTATAGCATTAACAGGCTGTTGGGGCAAGTGCTGCTAGTGAGCACCTATGAAGGCGAGCACGGCACACGAGGGGGTGGGTGGCCAGCACCACGCCCGGCCGCCTTTGTCTCCCACTCCTTATGACCTTGTCGGTCTGCTGGATCGACAGTAGCGGGGGGGGGGGGATTAAGAAACAGCCATCGTTTCAACTGCCACGCTGGGAGATCGAACCGTCAGCCTCTCGATTGAAAGTCCAGGGTACTAACCACGACACCGATGTGGCAGCTTCCCATAGATACAGAACTGTAGTAGCAATGATAACAATAATTATACTCGGGCCAATTATCAAACAACGCCTGAGCCAAAAAAAATTCGATTTAAAGCTTTCGTGACTGCAGGGATTCATCTTCTTGGTTCTTTCGGTAAAGTCACGTAGAAGGGAAATAATAAAATAATAAGGCGAAGAACAGGTCTCTCGAGAAGACAGAGTCTGTCTTCTCGACAGACCTGTTCTTCGCCTGAGGACGGCTGCTTGCGTTGTGGCCGAAACGTCGTGAGAATGATTTTATTACGTTTTATTTTTATTATGTTATTATTTTCCTTCTACGTGACTTTACCGAAAGAACCAAGAAGATGAACGCCTGAGCCAGTCGCGACACTTTATATCCGGGAGGTTTCCTGCATTTTTGACGTTTGGGCAACCAACACCATGAACCGAGAGGGCTTGGCTACACGTAGGGAAGAAGTCGAGTCACCCCCCCAGAGAAACCCACGGCTCGTGTGAGTGAGGGGGGCTAACACAGTCAGCCGTGGGTGGCCCGTCCGTTACGGCACGCACATCAGCGGCGCCCCCGGCAGCACGGCCCACCCTTCAGCATCGGGCGTCCGATATTTGAACCGCTGTAATTTTGTTTTTAACCAGCGGTCACATTCCCCTTCGCTTTGTCGGGTTTTCAAAGGCCACGGACAGGGAATGCCGAAGCAGCAGAAACACACGTTGTTGTGTTTTTAGGGGTCCGATTTTGATGACTCTCGCTCGCTCGCTCCCACATGGCTAACTCACGTCCGCTGGGCTCGACCAAAGTAAGCTAAAGAACGACGGAGACGAGACGCCTACCCCTACCACAGACAGAAGCATGGCCATGACAACAGCAAGACGTAGACTGAGATCATTTAGTCGTGTTGTGAGAGACTTCAGCGCCAAACATGGCAACTGCCTATATACATGTGTGTGTGTACTCTCGATATCATGATAGTGCGTTGTCTTTGTGCTGTTTGCCTTTTGGCGTCCTCTGGTCTAACACCGTTTGAGACGAGGCTAAAAAGAAAGCTGTCTCTGGTGTGGACCAATCAGTTTCAAAGACAATTCATCATCATATACCTCCAGAGCACGTTTTATGTTTGCATGTTCACCACAAGGATACGTGGTCCATGCAGACATGCTTCCTTGAAAAAGGTTTCTGTTGGGTATTTTAACATCTTAACACAACGGTTTTATTGCCAGAAAGGGTAAAACCCATTCTTATATTTTGATACTGGCAAGGGAGGTCCCATTATGTTGTGGTTTCACTCTTCAACACACCGGTGGGCTAAAGCAGTGAATTATTTGTCTTTTGTCAACGTGACACTTTTTTGCTGATTAGCCGTGTCGGGTGGTTGAGGGTTACGACACATTTATAAATAACGCGATCTAACCCGAAAATGTTTATTATGAATAATATTGGTCGCGAAAGCCTACGTGTTAAACCCATTATGTGTGTACTGTACGCATATCCAGTGCTGTATAAATGATTACTCGAGTTCGCCGATTGGCCCATTCGGTAATAATTGCAACGCTCCCTCGCCCCAGCGTTTAATAACGAAGGGTGCCCTAAATGTTTGACTGCTTTCGCCGAGCAGACTCAGGGACAGAGTAAATGGGATCTAATTCTAATCTAATTCTAATCTCATTTATATTTATAGAGGCGCCTTCACTCAAGGCGCTCTATAATCCAGAAACTTGCACCTTGGCTAAGAATGATTTAGGGTTTATTGATTTCAGCAGGAAGGGTCAAATAATAACAACAACTTTCGACAAATGTACGGTAGTTATATCGATATATATTTTAAACACACTTGCTAAACACAGACCCAAAAGGCCACATGAAACCTCCACACCGAGACTTGCCAACCAATCTAAAACTAAACTAAACGATTGCATTTTACCAGGTAAGGTCCACTGAGCTATGTAGCTCTTTTTCAGAAGCGACCTGGCAACAAATGATAGCTCAACGAAGTGGCTTATCACGTGGAAATGTATAGCAGCCAAACGCCCTAAATGCAGGATGTTGATTCTAAATATGGAGGGGAAAACAGGAGGACCCGGAGAAACATCCACGCGACCACAAGCAGAGAGAGAGAGAGAAAGACATGCAAACTCGAAATATACAACAGGCATCAGGGTCAGGATCAAACCCACGACCTCCTGTATACCAGGCGAGGTAGTTAACATCTCCTAGCCACCGCGGGTTAGTGCCGTCTGAAATCCCCGACTAAATTAACGGTACCGGTCATCGCTCACGCGTCACACCCCCCCCTCCCTTCTCCTCCTCCTGATTGTCCTTGCAGGCGTTTGGCCCACTGTGACCCTCTACTGGACGTGGAAGACATGATCATTATGGGCAATCGGCCCGACTCCAAGTGCGTCTTCACGTACGTGCAATCCCTCTTCAACCGCCTCCGCAGGCTGGAGCTACTAACGAGGTCCGTCAATCAGGGGAATTAGGGGCTTCGACGGCGACGACCCGCGCACGTCAAGCTGCGACGTAATTGGGAATCTTTACGGCAAAGCGCGGCTTGCCGACGAACGATGTCGCGTTGCTCCGGTAACAGTGATGCGGGTGCGGCGCGCGGGATGCGCTCGTTCGGGTGGGATTGGGGGGTTGTGGTGACTTTTGCGGTTGTGGCCGTGTAGCTCTCCCCGGTGTGTTATTCGGGTCACAGCAGCGCGTCTTGTTGTTTTGGTTGTTGTTGTTGTTGTCGTTGTGGTTGTTGCTGCTGCTCGGTGCGACGTCCCGACGCTCCGCTCCACGTGCTGGAAGGAGCTCCTTCAGTTCGGCGAAACGTCGGACATCATGCCGAGCAACACGCGGGGCGAGCCCCCGAAAACACGACAGGAGGGTGGTGACTTTGGCGTGTTGATGTTTTTTTACGGGCAATACGACTCATTAGCGCATGGGCCAGGTGTGGCACTACCACCAGCCCCCCCCCACCCCACCGTATCTAAACGTATAGTGTCCTGCTATTCTACAGACTTTTCAATTGGGAGGTGGCTAAAACGGAAATAATTCTGTATCCCAGCCACCCACACACCCCCCCCACCAAAAAATAAAAATCAGGAGAAACCTGGAGTATGGACTATTCAGTTCTCCCGGCATGTGGAGCAAAACGTCGGACATCGTGCCAAGCAACAGCAAGCGTCACAACCCGAAAACACAGTGGAGCTGGCCCACTCTCTCGTTAACGACTGTCAAATTATCCCATTTCCTAAACGTATATAAGTGGTGTATGTTTGTGTATTATATAGGCTATATGAAATGAACGTGAATACATAATATATGTATAAAATAATGATACAAATTACAAAGCAATGTTTTCTGTTTGTGATTTGCAAAAACTTTATATGGTAATATTTCTTCACTAAACTTTTTTTGTAATAAATGTCGCGGTTGCAATTATTATACAGTCGGTGTGTTTTCGGTTTTTTCACGATGTCTCATTTGCCATATCACAAATATGTATACACGTAAAAAAAGATTACCCATTCATCCTCATTTTATTTCTCTCTGTGGCTTGTGTTTTCCGAAACTGTTATGAACGTTTGAATCATAAATCCGACCAAAACACTGTATGCCAAATTAGCACTCCAAACTTTTGCACAGTGAATATAATAGCTGGGCAATTATGTTATCGTTTCAATATTATGATTGTTTTGTAATTGTTTTCTTAGAATACGTACTACTTTTTTTTACCCGTGACACACCACTGGATGGCGAGTAGAGTCAGCAGTTCAACAGGGCAGCAGTGACATGTCAACTACCTCGCCTGGTATTAAGGAGGTCGTGGACTCTGATGCTTGTTGTATCTATGGCAGCGGTCGGGAACCTATGGCTCGCGAGCCATACATGGCTCTTCCGGTGACGGCATATGGCTCCCAGACAATTTAGAGTTGAAAAAAAAATCAGTTTGGAACTGATTTTAAAATGCTTGCGATATTACTTAATATTACTTAATAATACATTTTAAAGTAAACAGAAATTAGTTTTGAAGATAAATTTCACGGCTCACGCCTGCATGAAGCTCAACCTCACCACGTATGAACCAGACTACAAGGCCATCAGCAAAACCACGCAGCACCAGAAGTCGCATTAAAAGTAAGACATATTAAATTTATTATACGTTAAAAATACTATATGGCTCTCAATGAAATATATTTAGAAATATTTGGCTTTTATGGCTCTCCCAGTCAACAAGGTTCCCGACCCCTGATCTATGGAGTGGTGACACGGAAGTCACGTGAGTTGCAGGAATCGAGAGCTGATTTAGAAAGAGAGATGTGTGTGGTTTACGAATTCAAGAATCCTTTCGGAAATCGCGCACAGCAATGCGTCTCGTGTGTTAGAGAACAGCTGTGAAAGAGAGATAAATTACAGAACTTCTCCCCCCCAACAAAAATCCTTCAAGTCACCTTTGTATCACTTGCACCACAAGGGGCACACGCTACCACACACTGATAGAACGTCGCTCGTTACGTGGCAGAAACATTCTCAAGAGCTGGAATTGAGCCAAATCAACGTTTGCTGAATAATCAAACGTAATTTGATGTACTCCTTGGTTCTTTCGGTAAACTCACATAGGTAGAAATAAGTATAACCCGTAAAAACAAAGTTTTTCACTATAAATCCTTTATATGCGTGGCGGCTAGAGTCCTCTCGTCCTCTGGCTTGAGATGGCTGCCACCTATGGGTCAGATGATTGTCTGCCAGTATTAAGCAATTGGTAATTAAATATTTAATTTGTTTTCCCTAAACAGTGTAACATTATGGATTTTATTTTTTCACGAACATTAATTGTCTCGCACAACGAGTCTGTGTGCAAAATGTCAGCTCGATTGGATCACGGGAAGTGGGTTAAAAAACGACCGAAAGATTTGCACGTCGTAAGCAAGCAAGCAAGCACGCAAGCAAGCAAGCGAACTTAATATAAAGGATTTAAAAATAACAACAGATTACGACGTTTCGATCGCCACACAAGCAATCGTTTCTCCCACCCGAAGTCTTCCCACCTGAAGACGATTGCTTGTGTGCGGCGATCGCAACGTCGTGATCTTTGATTTTTTCTACCTTGCGTGACTTTACCGAAAGAACCAAAAGAGTATGGATTCCTGCAGTCACGAAAGCTTCAAATTAAGATTGTAATGTGATGTCTTTGTGTGTGTGTGTGTGCATTGGTGACCCATCAGTGAGCATGAAATTCGTTTTCGGCACTTTCAAACGAAAAGTCGCGAGCGTATCTCTACTCGCTGAATCTGGTCACGAGAATTCTTCTTTAACATGCCGGTGAGCTGACACGAATAAAACGCCCGCACGCCCGCGTGATAATTCAGTTTGCTTGGCCCGCCAGGTGGCGGAGGGTTTTGACGACACAGTTTGGCCGTCAGCTCAGAAGCAGACTTTCTATTTATACTGGAGGAAGCCAATGAGCTATGATCCTCTTTTTCACGGATGTCCAGTCGGGGCGGGTAAGAACGTTACAGCAACAAACACGATACATAAACACGATAGGAGTGCAAAGAACAAGAAGGTTAAACACGTTTAACACGCAGTAGGCTTTCGCGACAAATATCATCCATAATAGAGGTTTTTGGGTTCGATCGCGTAAATATATAAATGTGTCGTTAAAACCCGCCACTGGCGAAGCGTCGTACTCAGATTGTAAATGTTGTGGCTTGGCTCTCCAACATACCGGTGTGCTGTACTAGTATACTACACTATACACCCCACTATACACTACACTGCTATACACTACACTATACACTACACTACACACTAGTGCTGTACTAGTGACAAATTGGCCACGTTCTGTTTACGTGACAACCCTTACTAGTTGGCTGTGTCGGGTGGTGGCGGCTTTAACGACACATTTATATATTTACGCGATCTAACCCAAACAAGCTCTATTGTGAAGGGTGAAACATCACCCAAACACATACAAATACGACACTAAACCATCCCCATCCTACCAGACAAAGCCCACGGACGTATTAACTTATTGTTTAAAAGAGACCTGGCCACAAATGATAGCTGAACAAAGTGGCTTATCACATGGACATTTATAGCGGCAAAATAATCTGCATAGCCTGAACGCATTACATAGTGGCCTTACGCAAATATCAATGACATTGGCAGCAAAAAAACCTTACACGACGCGTAACGTAAACCCGGTTTAACCGGCCAGATTCGAACCACGGGATATCTTGGCGATGCTGATCCGATGCAACTGCGCTCCGAGCCAGCTGGCCACCAAGACAGCTCTACAATCTGTATTTACGACCAGTTCAAAGTGCCGGAGAGCTCGGCCGCTGTGACCTCCAGCGTGACCCTGGCCACTCCCAACGCATACGTCAGGAGAGGGTCGCCGCGTGCGCACAAGTCACGGGGCACGCGGTGTGACGTTCATTGGAAGTTTGTAAACTCGTGGTAGTGCGTTCCACGCAAGAAAGTTGACCGCCGGGGGAGGGGGAGGAAGTTCCTTCCAAGATCGTTCAGCCTTGACAGTGACGACTGGCTCCCCCGTCATGTGTTGAATATTTATAACGCTGCGTGAAGCATATCTTCCAAATATTGCTCCGGACCAAATAACATTTTGAAACAAGTTTGTGGAGTGTCTCCAACATTTTTGAACCTGGAAAGTGATTACAGTCTAGGGATGAAGACAAAGATCCCCCGTATAGCCTAACAGACTGTTTGGGGCAAGTGCTGTTAGCAACCACCTATTCAGGCCGGCACGGCACACAAAGGGGATGGGTGGCCAGCACCACGCCTGGCCGCCTTTGTCTCCCGAGTGGTAATGTTTACACACCGCACCAGGTACTCATTTAAGGCTGAATCGGCCTAGGGGAGGCCCAGAACCAGTTCAGATAATCGTCGCTCGGTGTTGGCCGTGAGCGGCAATCGAACGCGGGTCGCCGGGTTCGTAGCGCAGTGCGCTAACCGTTGCACTACTGCTCCCCATGGCATGAAGACGCACAGACAAACACACACAAACACTCCCGCCTGGTCTGTTTACACATGCAAGGCCAACCATCTGCAAAAAATAACTGAAGTCACTGCACGATGGGGAAACGATGCACAGCGCTGTTCGTAAACGTTTACGAACGTTAGCGCGCTTCATCATTTACGCGCCGCAAACAACAACGACGACGACGACGGCGACAGCGCTGACGCGTGGCGAGGACAAATAAAGCGACGAGAGTTCACGTCACCGTTATGGTGCGGGGATGATCCAAGAAACTTTCCCCATTAGGTCGGCGAGGCCCCAGACCAGACCTCTCGCTCGCCGGCGCCACGGCGAGGTGGCGCCGATTTAGCGGGGTTCCCGATTCCATTGCGTGGCACGACAGCGGTGAAGCACGTGCTAGCGGGGTGAAATGAGTGGGAAATATCACGTCATTCACGCCACGTTCGCCAAATGGATCGATGGGTATACCTTAGGCGGTGTCAATATTCAGATCTGGCTCACTGACTAAATTGATTATTTGCACTCTTATGGTGTCTTTGCATCGTTTGTTCTTGTAACGGTCTGACCACGTGCCCCTTACTGGACATCTGTGAAAAAAAGAGCTTTATAGCTCCACGGATTCATCCGGTATAAGGAAAAGTTCCGTACGTCCGCGCGGGGAGATGGAATCGAACCGGTAGAGTATTGCACCCAGAAGTCGCAAACGGGTTTTTATTCCTTACCCGTACCTGTACCCGGCCGGGTACGGGTAGGTGGGTATTGGGTAGGGTACGGGTATCGGGTACCCGATTGCGACCTCTGATTGCACCGCGGTAACATCGATTCGTCCGCTTTGAACAAAAGGCCAAACACAATTTACTTTAAAAGTGCTTTTAGTGAAACGCGTAAAAAAATGTTGAGTCAAGCCCCCCCACCCCGAAAGATGCTGCCGAAGCGCACAACAGCCCCATATAGAACAACGAGCACGCGCTCGTTTTCCATAACAGAGTGACGCTGACGAATAACTGTTTGGTGAAGAGAGGACACGGAGCGTAAAACTTGGCCTGTGTTTGGGTAACGCGGAGCGAGCACACTCGTTTTTGCTCTCTCGCCATCTAAGGAAATTCTGCCAATGGAAAGACGACCGGCCACCTTGAACGGAACGCAGCCGCGACGCTTGTAACAGGGAAGGCGCGGGGTTTGATGCCCGGCCTGACGCCTGCTGTGTATTTGGAGTTTGCGTGTCTTTCTCGCTCTTCTCCCCGTGGTCGCGTGGATTTGTCTCCGCGTCCCTCCAGGTTTTGTCCGCTACACATTGAGAAACAACTTGCTGTTTGGAGCATTTGGCTGATATGCATTCGCACACGACGATACGCCACTGCGTCGGGCTGTCGTTTGTGATAGCTGGGTCGCTTCTGAACAAGAGCTACATAGCTCAGTGGGGCCTTACCTGGTAAAA